CTATGCAGGATTGCTTGAGTTGTCGAAAGCCAAGTGAAAATGTCAGATTTATTTATGTTGGTGATGATAAATAAGTGGAAGTTGAGGTGATTAACACATTTAGACTATTATTAAGAACTAGTTATTATTTGGATTTGAATGAGAATTATGTTGTATCATCATTTTGACAGAATTTGATTTCATTTTTGTTTTGGACAAATTTGATTATTTTTGTTCTTTTGAAAATAGAAAGTTTATTCTTTTTCATGACTTAAAGTTGCTTGGTACTGGTTCTTCATTTGATCATGATAATCTTTATTTGCTTGATACAATTATTTTTTTTAATGAATCATTACATTTGAGTACATGAGGTATAAATAAAAAATTAACCGGTGAGAATTTTGACTCATTAGGGCACAAGTGATTAAGTTATATCTACGAAAGGAGAATTGAGAGACTTGTGTCGGATGAAATTCTTGATAGCTTTAACTTTGCAGATTTTGACATGTGTGTTAATTGCATCAAGGAAAAACAAACAAACATAAGAAGATTGGGTGCTAATAAGGTTATAGACATATTAAAACTTATTTATATGCATATATGTGGATAATTTCCTATGCCTTCTTGGAATGGTTAACAATACTTCATAACATTCAGAGATGACTATTCTAGACATGAATACCTTTATCTCATTCATGAAAAGTCACATTCACTAGATGTGTTTAAGAATTTTAAAGTTGAAGTTTAAAAATAACTCAATAAAAGAATTAAGACTATCAGATCTGACCATGGTGGTGAATAGTATAACAGATATGATAGATCAGGTGAACATCATCTAAGACCATTTGCTAGATTCTTAAAAGAATACAGTATCGTCCCATAGTACACCATACTAAGTTCGCCTAACATGAATGATGTTGTTGAACGGTGAAACAGAACGCTTAAGGACATGATGAGGAGCATGATTTGTCATTCTACCTTACCTGAATCTCTATAGGGAAAAACATTAAAGACCACAACATGTATACTCAATAGAGTTCCAATTAAAGGGACTGCAAAGATCCCATATGAGCTTTGGATGAACATGAAGCCTAGTTTAAAATATTTGTACATTTAGGAATGTTCAGCTGAGGGTAGAACTTATAAGCCAAATGGAAAGAAACTAGATTCAAGAATTATTAGTTGCAATTTTGTTGGCTATTATGAAAGATACAGGAGTTACAAGTTTTATGATCTCATGACTAAGGTGAATTTTGAGACAAAAAATGCCTAGTTCTTGATAATGTTAAGTTTGCAAGGGGAGAGAGAGTTTAGGATCTTATCTTTAAAGATGAATTTGTTGATATTCCCTTAGTCGCTATTGACAATGTTTAGGATTAGATTCTTATACCTTACATTATTTAAGAAGCAATTTCAGACTTAGACAATATTATAGTATCTCACGTGCATGTTCAAAGAGTTATTCTAAACGAGCAAACTCCACAAACTCCAGAATCAATCCTATTCAGAAGATCCACCAGAGAGAGGAGAAGTGCAAATTTTTGATGATTTATATTATATTTCTTTAAGAGCATGAGGATGACATCGGAATGGTGGAAGATGATCTAATCAACTTTCGTCAAGCCATGAAAAACTTTAACTCTCAAAAGTAGATTGATGTCATAAATAAAGAGATCAACTCCATGAAGGACAATGACGTATGGGATCTTGTCCTATTAGTTGAAGGTGCAAAATTCATTTGTTGCAAATGGATATTTAAGAGAAAGAGGGATTCAAAAGGCAATGTGGAGAGGTACAAGACCTTTCTTGTCACTGAGGGCTTTACATAGAAAGAAGGAATCAATTATAACAAGACTTCTCTTCGGTTTCATCTAAAGACCCTTTTAAGACTACAATGGCTTTAGTGGTTTTGATATCTTAAGTTCTATAAGATGGATGTTAAGATAATGTTTCTCAATAGTGACATCGATGAGATAATTTTTATGGTGCAATCAGAAAACTTTATATTAGGCGATGTAAAATAGATGATTTGTAAACTAAAAAAAATCCATCTATGGATTTAAGTAGACTACTCGTCAATTGTATCATAAATTTTATCAAGTTATCATCTCGTTCTGTTTTGATATAAATATAGTAGATTATTGTGTATATCATAAGTTTAGTGGGAGTAAGTATATTTTTCTAGTTTTATATGTCGATGACATATTGCTTGCCAGTAACGATATAGGGTTATTCTATGAAAACCAAGAGATTTTTGACAATGAATTTTGAAACGAAAGATCTTAGGGGTGTCTTTTTTATTTTAGGGATCTATATATATCGGGATCTCTCTCAAAAAATTTTCAGATTCTCACAAGAAGTTATATAAAAAAAGTTTTTAAGAAATTTGGCATGCAGGATTTTAAACCAAGTGACACATCTGTGTTTAAATGAGATAAATTTACTATAAGTCAATGCCCCAAGAATGACTTTGGGTCTAAGAATAAGCAAAAGATTTCTTATTTTTTCAGCTATAGGGAGTTTTATATATGTTCAGGTTTGTACATATCTAGATATTACATACATTGTTAGGATGCTAGGAAGATATTTGAGCAATCTACGTATGGATCATTGGAAAGCACTTAAACGTGCCATGTGGCATCAACAGAGAATGAAGGATTGCATGCTCATATACAAGAGATTAAATCAGTTGGAGACCATAGGTTATTCTGATTTTGATTTCACTAAATGCCAAGACAACAAGAAATCCACATCATGTTATATCTACTTGATTGCTGGGGGAGTTATTTCCTTGAAGAATGCTAAGCAAATACTCATAGCCTCTTTCACTATGGCAATAGAGTTTATAGCATGTTATGAAACATTCAATTATGGAAATATAGTTGCGAACTTTTGTCATTGGACTGTGCATTATAGATGAAATTGAAAGATCACTAAAAATATTTTGTGGTAATAAGTCTACAATTATGTATTCTAATAACGATAGGAGCTCAACAAAGTCAAAGCATATAAAAGTCCATAACTTGGTTATTAAAAAAAGAGTTTAGAATAAATAGATATCAATAGAGCACATCACACGAACTCCATGGTTGCGGATATGCTCACTAAGGGATTACCCCCCAAGGTCTTTCATAAACACATTACTCATATAGGTGTTGTATCTCTTGAAAATTTATAGTTTAATGGGAGTTTTGTACTATAGTTGTTTTTATGATACAGACATTTCTTGAGTTTTGTATTTCGGATATAGTTTATGTATTTGGTTATTAATTTTAGTTATATTGATTTGGTTTATATTTTATCTCTAAATTTACTTAAAATTGATCTCACTAAAGTTAAGGCAGGACTAGTTGAAAATAGGCATATTCGGATCATATAGCATATAATTTTTATGTTGCACATCCATATTTGATTCGTATCATCCGATTGTATTGATATATATGGGGGTTTAATTATGTTAGTTATAGTAAAGACCACTTTGATCCTATGTTAATATGATTGATGAACGAGATTATTTAGGGATGCATTCGGGTATTGATAGTAAAATTCTGAGTACTCATAAAGTTATTAATGCATAATTATAAGGAGACACATATAACCCAAGTGGGAGATTCTTGGGTTTTAATCAATTTTGTGGGCTTATATATGAGTTTATTGTGTATAAAATATTATTAAATTTAATTAGATCCATTTAAAGTAATCTGGTACGGTTAAAAGTATTTTAAACCTTAATGTGTCAAACTAAAATGTGACATTTATTTTCTATGCAGAAACTAAAAACGTAATTTTTAATTTTGTGATGAGTAAAATTAGAAATAATAAAATCCTAGGGATATAAATGAGCGGTTATGGTTCCCAAATCACACATAAAAATTTTTTTATTTTGTTATCTCGTCACCAAAAATAGAAAGTGTGTGAGAACTCCAAAGGATTACGTGTTGACTTAGAAGATTTATAGAGGACGTACATATTTCTTCCGTTATGGGTTCATGTACATTTTATTTTTCAAATATAATATCAATGATTCGATATAAGCATACTTTAGATTCAAATCTGGTTCATTTTAAAATCCCTACAAGAGAGACATAAACTATTCTGGTGGAGAATACTAAGAAACACACTACCAGGCTTATCTGAAGATAACTACTGACCTATACCCTACTGCTATTTCTATCTCATCTATTTTTAAAATGTGATATTATTATATTTTTTGGTCATTGTCAATATGGTGTGTCAATTAGAATAAATTATATTTACAATAGAGGATTTTGCCAAATTATCTACTTAACATGTAAAAAATATATGGAAGGTGCAGGAAAGAAACATGGAAAAAAATTGATTTGGAGTAAAAATGGAGAAATGCATCCATGCACAGGGAATTTAGTGAGAAGAGAAGGCCTTCATAGCATTTGTTAAACAAAGTAAAAGGCTACAAGTTTGCAAAAACACCTTATTCTATGATAAGCCCTTGCACAACAAAGATGAAGATGAATTTCTGACTTTAAAAAAAACTAAATTAATCACTTCAAAGCATTAAAAAAATATAATAACATTTGAATTTGTAATGAAAACATCATACCATCTAAATTAAATTACTTAATGATGACATTTAGCAAGAATTATTTCAGTCTTATTTTTAAAATATCCTTAAATTTTTTATTTTAATTAATACTAACTGTATTCAGTTTTTCTTACTTTTTTTTAACCTTTTTAATAGAATTCTTTGGCTATAGTAATATTGCCATCTGCTGATTTTTTTTTTTCTAATTTCCTATTTTTAATCTTTTAGTTCTAGTCCTTTCTAGAATAAAATAGTATAGCTATTTCTTATTTGATAGTAATGAATATTTTTTAATAATTTTTATTTTCTATTTATATTCAACTTATTTTCATAATTTTTCTCTTATGTTTTTTAAGGATATCTTTATGAAATGCTTAACATTCATATAAAATAATTATTAATTTTTTATTATTATCAACTTACAATACTAAAATATATATATATATATATATACTTATCATGCCCGGCAATAATGTGCAAGTATTACTACCTATATCACAACAATGACAAGAAACCACCACAAGTATTACTACCTACATACATACTCGGTAATTTTTCTATCCGCTCAAGTTCCACTTTGAAAGAAAACCCTTTTTAAGACTGAAAAAAAAAAAAAAAAAAAAAAAGAAATTCTTATCCCACAACAATGACAAGAAACCATATTTTGAAAACTCTAATTAATTTGAACACTAATAGTGAATGCCAATAGCTCATGGGAAACTCTTTAAGTTATAGTCATTCTTTCACTTATTTCACAAAGCTTCATCTTCTTGAGTATCATCTTCACTCAGAAGATGGTTCAGTGCTACTTTAGCCTTCTTTGGTTTTGTTGCTGTTTCTCCCTTGTTATCTTCTTCAACCTTCCTCTTCCCCATTTCATCCCCTTGTTCATCAATCTCGGCAGCAGCACTTTTCACCTTGGAAGGCTTTTCTGTTTTATCCGACTCCGATGGCTTTGGTTCAGAGTTTTCAACTTTCCGACTACCACTTGGATTTTCTCTTTTGGCTGACTTTTCATATTCTTCCAGAAGCAAGCGGATTCCGTCACTACGTGCAAGATCACGGGGGGTCTTCCCAGCTTTTGTTTTGGCACCAAGATTTGCACCTTTCCTTATCAAGTATTTCACAAGCTCCAGATGAGACCCTTGAGAAGCATAGTGAAGTGGAGTTAGGCCCTTCCGGTTCGAAGCTTTGACTGAGACTCCAAATAACAACAGAGTTCGAACTATTTCTAAATGTCCCTTTTGAGCAGCAAAGTGAATTGCGCTCATGTCGTCCATGGCAGCTGCACCAACATCAGCCTTCTGTTTGCAGAGATAATTCACAACCTCTGTGTGCCCAGACCATGCTGCTAAATGTAGTCTATGATGCAGTTGGTCATGTCAAGAAAACAAATAGAAACTATTTGGATGCTAAAATAAGAAATTTGTATAGGAATTAACAAGGAAAAAAAAGGCTGTAGTCAAAGCTAGCTACAAACATGGCAAAAAACATGTGAAGTAAAAATTTTGAAGATAACTGGAAAAGAAGGCTTAGAGATACTTAGATATTGTAGTAATATGAATGTCTAACAAATCCATTCTTTATTTTTAAGCGTGCATAAGAACTATTTTTTATCTTTCTTAGAATATTATGGGCAGAATCATCCTTTCCTTATTATAGAGGAATTCCAAAGAGAAAATTTGTCAGTTTGATGTTAAGATAAGTTTTCTGAAGTTCTATCCCGCTGTTGTACCTAAATCCCCAGAAGGATGCTTTCAGAATGCAAGTGTCAAAGAGGCCTCTGAGCCATGAATAATATGACTGGCAAGCATCATTTGAAGTTGCAAAAGAGAATACCATCGTCAAAATGATGGTGCAACATCCTGCATATAGGTGATTAAAAGCATCCTCTAGTAGGTAGCAAAATTGTTTTGAGTGTCTTTGGCTAGTATCACTCAAACTTCAATTATACCCCACAATTCATTGAAAAAATAAAGATTACATAACTACTTTCCCGATCTTTTGGCATCTTGTTTATTAGTTTTCATAGTTAAGACTACTTCACCAACAGGAGTTATTCACTTCGACTGAGATATGAGATAAGTTCCATATCTCGACCATCCGGATCCAATTTAACAGAGTACTATCTATTTCAAAAAAAGTTTACCAGAGTAAAATCCAATAAGCCAGTACGAAAGAGTACATTGCCTGGGAAATAATTAATCTTGGGGTGCGAAAACTAGCCCTGAAAACTGCTTAAGAACAGAAAAAAGAACTGCTTCACTCAGTAAAGTCTGATCGTTGAAAATCTTGTCCAATGTTTACAATTTTCTGTAGCATTATATGGTTGCTAGGCTGAATGTTCTAAACAATCCAAATCTCAATTCACCTAAACGTAACATTCTCCAAGAATATATACTCTTGAAGAAAAATATATGTATTCACAAGCTCCTTTTAACACAAAATTTACATGTCAAGCAAAATACTTATGAAGTACCAAGATGCTCACAAGAACAACGAGGCAGACCCTTCTATAGCATTCTGCCATATTAGGGGACCATTTTCTCTACAAGATCACTAAATGACATCTCTTGATAGCAAATGATTTTCTTAACCTCATCTCCTCAAGTTTTTCCTTCATAAGTCCTATTCCTACATAATTCATTTATAATATTTATCTTGTCACGAGTAAATCACGCAGTTCTTGAATCAATTTCTTCATTCCCTCTCATTACAAACGTTGACTTGAAAAGAGAATCACAGAGTATAAGACCGATAAATACAACATAGCAAGCAATACAAGAGCAACCGAATCTATGTTCCATATAGCACGCATAATACTCAAGCCAACAAACATAACTCACAGAAACCCTAGAGACGTTACTTATTTGGAGAAATCAAACGATGAGTCAGGTTAATACCAAGTAACCGGAAAGTTCAATTCATTATTAAGTGTAACCATTAAAAAAAAAAAAAGAAAAAAGAAAAGCCGAGAGGATACGGAGTTCTTGAGTGCTTATCTCTGGCATTGATGGCTAAAGGATTAGAACCGAGAATAGCCCGAACGTCATTTAGTTCACCTGACCTTGCTGCTATGTGAAGATCCTTTTCTCCTCCGCTACCCATTCTCCACCTCTCCGCCGGTTCAGAAGGTGGAAGCAGTTAACGATAGGCGGCTAGCTACGTAGTAAGTACGCAGGATCGACTCTTTCGGGTCATGTTGGGTTGACGTGAGTGCAGGTTTTACGGGTCGGGTTCAGGTTGCATTTTGGGTTTTTCTTGGTTTGGTTGATTAATATTAATTT